AAAATTACTATCGTGGCCAAAAAAAAAATGTAAGAAACTCTGGGAGAACCTTCTGACCCCAAGGATGATATGTGCAGTTCATCCTGGAGGATCTTGCGGGATATGGGAAAATTATTAATACAGTCAGTCTGGATTATTGTGTTGACCCAACACTGAACAATAAACCAAGGTAAATAAAGTGAGGATAGTAATGTGTTTCATTTGTGTGTTGTTAACAGGAAGACTCTGGAGGTCCTTTGGTGTGTGGGAATACTGCAGTGGGCATTGTTTCCTTCGGTCAGAGGAACAAGTGTGATGCACCCACGAAGCCAAAGATTTCTGCCAAAATATCTGCATTTCTGCCCTGGATCAAGTACATTATTGGGAAAGTTTAATCTGCATTTGACGAAAACCAAAGCATTCACCACAATTTCATCTCAATAAAAGCATTTTGCAAGCATATTATTTGATGACAATGTATATGAGAAATACTGTGGAAAGTAATTCTGTATGATAAAGTGTAACAAATGAAGTCAAACACCAAGGAAGGAAAAAACAGGTTAATGGTGGTCTCCCAGGGCCTGACCACACAACTTTAGACGACCTCTTAAACTTTTGTGCTTGAATGTGATGAAGTCTGCTGTAAGTAAGGCCACGCCCACTCTAAAACCCACCCCATATTCCTCTGGTCTGTGCTCTTTTAATGTCTAAAGTACAATCGATAACAAAAGCAAACCTAGTGAAACATTTTTTTTAGTTGTTATATATTTTTTAGTTGTTATATATTTTTTATATATGTTGTTATATATTTTGTTATATATATTTTTTTATTTTTTTTTAGTTGTTATATATTTTTAATATATTTTTTAATTGTTATATATTTTTATGAGTTCTCTGCACATGCAGTAAACATTTACATGCTTAAGTTCTGTTTTAGGGGTGACTTTTTAGCCATGTTAACATTAAATGCAGTGGCTTGTTGTCAGTGTTGGAGCGTGCCATTGACCCCTACTTTGACCTCCTCCTTCTTAAGGTGTTGGATTGCTTTACAGATTTGATTCTCAGTTTATTCTCACCTCGATACGTCTACGCTCCCGCTCACATATAGCCCAAAATTTCTCATGGTTGTCCCCAGACATTCTCACAACGAGATCAAACTGGGCCCCACGTGAGCATTTTAATGGACACTTGGAGATACATAGGAGATTCTAAGGGAGCAAGATACTGAACAGACCCTGAGTCAGCAGCAAACAGGACACAGTGCTTAGATGTAAATACAAAGCAAACATGTGTTAAAGCAGGATTAACAACTGGGAAAGCACAGAGATAGAAAATCAGGAGATGTGCAGATAATAAAAAGACTTTTTAGGTTACAGGTCTGTGGACCTACCCAGTGTTGTGGCTACAGTGACCTCTAGAGGTGAGGAGTGGAATCCCCAGGCACAGATGTGACATACAGATAGTGTATCTGAATATACAGACCAGATTCATGCCAGTTGTCAAACAAACTTCAGTGTTCAATGTTTACTCCATCTAATAGTTATAGACCACGTTCCACCTAAACCTGCATCTGCATGACTTCTTTTAGCAGAGACGGCAGGGGTCCTTTGGAATGTAATAAAACTGCTGTCAGTAAAGTTTGTGTTTTGAAGAAGGGGAATTGTTATCACACAGCAAATTGCTTTCTAAAGACATCTAAAGCTATGAAACAAAGAGTGCTTCAACATTATTTTTTTCAGTGAAGCCTTTATTAGTACAGAAAATAAAAACGTTGCGGTGTCTCTGATCAAATGACATGTTCTGTTGATTTTCTAGGTGAAAATAAGTGATCACATCCTCTACTGATACACTTTTTAAAACACAATTACTGTTTATTTGCTGAATTTAATAAATTGAGAAGAAAAAAAATAAAACATAAAAGGGAAAGGGAAGAAATAAAAATGTACTGTCATACACCATTTTTCCAGATCACTTCTGAATATTTTGAGTACCAAGATGCTCTGCATTTTATGCACCCATGGCCATGTAGACATTGTATGTTCTATTTGAAAATTATCACAAATAGTATCCTGTGCAAAATGTCCCACAATATATCAGTAATAAAATAAAAATTGTGCACCAAACTATGCAGAAAAAAATCCATATTTAAAGGCATTGTCTGTCAAAGGTGTATTATTTTACTTAGAAAATCAGTAAAACATTAAGGATAATATTCGTCATTTGACCAGGGGTGTTCAAACTTTAGTATATGCCTGTATGTGTAGACATACTTACTTAGATAGGCATATACAGCAACAACCAATAATTAAAAAAGAACAACAATATTAATAATAATATATTAAAGCCCTTACATGGCCAGGGCCCACTAGCAGGCCCAAAGGTTTATTACACACTTCTATAATCAAAGAGTAGCTCAGCCAGTTTGCATTGAAGCCCCTGTAGTTACTGAATAATAAGCCTTAGTCTGTAATAAGCCTGGGATTTTAAGGGTTTAACAGCTATTTATATTATATTATATTGCCCAAGCAATATAATCATGTTGTGCCATATCCAAGAGGCACTGCAACATCAGGAATGGGTAGTGAAGCTAGTTACTACCCACCTCCAAAAACACATAAATGGCAGCAGATGGTTCTCAACACTTTATCATCTAATGAGGCTGTTTTAGTGTTATAGTTTGTGTGTAATTTAAAGTTTAGATGACAGATTAGTGCAGCAGTAAGTAGTGTTGCACTTTATCTGTAGAATGTAGTTTTCTGAGTTTGATAAGTGTCACTGACACAGAACACAACAGCTGCCAAAAGCCTCAGCTTACTCATACCAAGACCACAGGAGTGACCACAGACGCAGTTCTCATAGCAACTGTGAGTGTTCAAGGCAACATTTAGGTAAACTGCATTTCTGCAGAGTCAAGTGTTCTGAATTTACTGAGTCATTCACACAGAACACAACGTGCATCTACTTCTAATGAAATAAGCTGCACAATCCATCAGTTTACTGATGAAATACTCTGAAAAAGCAACTAGAAGAACAAAAGCCAACTTGACCTCTAACTGCACACATGACTCCGTGAAACATGCTTTCTTCTTTTCTTAAAAGTACCTGTCTGAGAAATGTAAAGGCTTTTGAAAGGTTTTTTGTTATTAGTTCCTATAATAACCTAATAAGCAGTGATGGGATCAAAGTGCACCCTACTGAATTGGGCCTAAACCCCTTCATCACAAGTACATCTAAATCAGCAATTTAAAGCTTCATTGTCACATACAGATATATTTTTACTCGCATCTACTTATATTACTTTATTACTGGCCACAAGAATATCCAACAATTGATTACTAGAAGGGGCTGAGGTGATGCAACCAGTGACTTGCAAAAAGGAAACAACTGCCAACACTTCTCTTGTTTAATGGGTGCTGCAGGGTGCTTTTGATTAAAAAAGAAACCCCCAGTCCAACTCTCAACCCACCCTCCGTGCCCCCCAGCCCTTTAACAGACTGCTTCCTCTCATTTTGAGCAATGGAAATTCTGAGCGCAGATAGAAATATTATGTAACCCTTTATTAGTTAACTGGCGTCTGGCACATCATCATGGTTAGAATACCAAAATATAAAACACATTCATATGATTTTTAGGGTAAGAATAAAATACTAGAAGAAAAACTTCCATGAAGTGAACTGTATTTGACAAAATGAACCCTCCTGTTATGTTTTCAACAAGGAACAGCAATAATATTCCCAGGTCAAATTGACCTGATGCATGTTTATATTTGTCTCCATAAACATTATCTTTGGCTCAATTAATATCAGTTCAATAATATTTAGTATAATCAAGTTGTCATCTATTATAGATCATTTTATGTATATGTACCTATTTTATGTTAATGTATCTATTATAGATCATAGTTTATGTATAATAACATTTGTCATCAATTTTTGTACATTGACAAAAACTACACATTCAAGACATTTTATTCTTATAGTTTATTCCTTTTTAGACTTTGTAAACATTTTTGACATATTTTCTGTCAAGCTGATTAATACAAACAAAACATCTCTCCTGTTCCAGGTCAAACTGACCCTTTCAAATCAAATCCCATTAAATGAGCCCATCAGAAAACGATTCATGCTCAAAAAATAAAAAAAAACATATTTTTTCCTGTTTTTTAAGCTTTGAAATGGGTCAGTTTAACCCACAACATAAAGCAAATGAACAAAACCAACAAAACTGCAAGGAAGCTGCACTCTGGTTACTGCAGAATTCAGAGACAGACTCAAGACACAAAGTAGTGCTGACTCTACCGATTTGCTTTGCAAAAAACAGCAAATTACTGTAAAATCCGACATTTGAACTTCTTTGGCAAGAAGTTTGACCTGTTTCTCCCAGAATGCAGCATTTATACAGAAATTATATGTATTTAAGGGATACAGTAGATACTGCAGTATTTCCACTGACAATTTTCAGCACTTCTTTATAGTGTAAGCATCAGAGGGTTATGTAAAGCTTCACATCAGCATCTTCAGTATGATTAAAACCAAGAAAGTGCAAAAAGATGAGGAGAACTCAAAGGATAATTTGCTGGTTGTTTACTGCAGCACTGTATGAAAACTAAAAGTTCTATATTTTGGGACAATAGACTTGGAAAAGGATTTAGGAAGTAAGTTTTTTCAGGAGGTCTGAGATGAAAAGGCTCTAGAATCAGCCCTGATATATTCTGTAATACTTGCTGACTGTTTTTGTAAATGATGTATTAAATGTTTAGTTTTTTTTGCTGCACCTACATTTCACTGCAGTGGTTAATGAAGTTTTATCTTATCTTAAATTTGTGTGAAAAACACTCCGCACTTTGTTTTTCGTGTCAAGACTCTTAACCACATAACCATGAACCAGCTATCAGATAACACAGAGTTCAATAAGACCACAAAAAACTGTGAGAAAGAACGTTTGTGGTGAACTGACTCTTCCCACCTTTGTATTTAAACTCTTCTTCTTCTTCAAGGAGATCAAACTCTCTCCAAAGAGCATCATGGCTCTCATCTCTCTGCTTCTGCTGGCTGCTCTCCTGCCGTATCTGAGCCACTCTGGTAAACGTCATTCAAAAATACCTACTTTCTCTGAATTGTTCTTACATTTAAAGCTTGATTAAAGTTAGAGTTGTTATTCGGCTTTCAGAATTCTCACATGTAATATTCAGATGCATAAATTATAAAATAAAATCAGTCTGTTTTAGGTAATTCACACTGAGTATAATTATAACCCCTCCACCTTCTTTCTCTCTCAGCCAGTGTTAATGTTGGTATAATAAATGGCACAGAGGCTAAACCTCACTCCAGACCCTACATGGTGTCTGTTCAGAAATATGGATCACACGTCTGTGGCGGCTTCCTTGTGTCTGAAGAATTCGTCATGACGGCTGCGCACTGCCGAGAGAAGTAAGCTTTTATTTGTAGTGTTTTCTTGATGTAGGTCTTAGGATGAAAATGACTACTTAAGTTAAAATGTACTCATTTCAATACTGTTAACTTTTTTCATGTCATTCATGTAGACGCTTCCAAAGCTGGTTGTCTGGACAAATATCAACTACTTCACAAACGCAAAAAAACACAGTCATTTTTGAGGAGAAATCTGAGAAAAACATTTGAACATTTTTCTTTTCAGCAGCTTACGTTCTAGGTATTAACCAAATTAGTGTGTTAAGTATCAAGGTAGCTGAACTAAACTACACTGAAATGCCCCACAGGTTCTGTGTAATAACTGGGTAAGTGTGAGGTACAAACTTTTAAGTGCTGTGTAATTATTTTGGGTAAAAAGTTCTGTGTAATTAGCATGGTGTCAAAAGATTGTACACAAATAAATACAGTTATTTTTCATAGTATGTACCTGTTTATTACCTATAAATGAAACTGAATCTTGGCTGTAAAAAATGCAGTGGTTCTTTCTCATCCTTATGGTTTTACTGGGTTGTTATATTTACAACTCCGTTTCAAAAAAAGTTGGGACACTGCAGAATGTAAATAAAAATAGAATACAATGATAGGCAAATCATGTCAAGCATATTTTTAAAAGAAAATAGTAGAAAGACAACATATCAAATGTTGAAACTGAGAAATTTTATTGTTATTTGAACAATATTTGCCCATTTTGAATTTGATGCCAACAACACGTTCCAAAAAAGTTGGGACGGGGGCATGTTTACCACTGTGTTTCATCACCTCTTTTTTCAACAACACTCGGTAAGCGTTTGGGAACCGAGGAGATCAACTGCTGTAGTTTTGAAAGTGAAATGCTTCCCTTGTTTAATATAGGATTTCAGCTGCTCAACAGTTCAGGGTCTGCTTCGTTGTATTTTTCATTTCATAACGCTTAATAATGTTTTCAGTGGGTGACAGGCTTGGACTGCAGGCAGGTCTGTTTAGCACTCAGACTCTTTTAACATGGAGCAATGCTGTTGTAATACATGCAAAATGTTGTTTGACATTGTCTTGCTGGAATAATCAAGGCCTTCCCTGAAAAAGACATCATTTGACTGGCAGCATATGTTGCCAAAACATGTATATATCATTCAGCATTAATGGTGCCTTCACAGATGTGCCAGTCACCCATTCCATGTGCACTAATGCACCCCTATACCATCATGAATACTGGCTTTTGAGCTGTGCACTGATAACAAGCTGAGTGGTCTTTAGCCTGGAGGACATGGTGTCCATGACTTCCAAAAAGTATTTCAAATGTTGATTCGTTGGACCACAGGACACTTTTCCAAATCCAATCAGTCCATTTTAAATGAGCTCAGGCCCAGAGAAGGCGGTGGCGTTTCTGGATCCTGTTTCTCTGGTTTTTTTTGCTTTCTAGAGTTTTAAATTGCATTTGTGGATGCAGAGATAAACTGTTTCCATAGAGAGTGGTTTTCAGAATCATGTCTGTTTTTAATGTAGTGCTGCCTGAGGGCCCAAAGATCACGGCCAGCAAATACTGTTTTTTGGCCTTGTCCCTTGCATACAGAGATTTCTCCAGATTTTCGGAATCTTTTAATTATATTATGCACCGTAGATGATGAAAAGCAAAAGTCCTTTGCTATTTTACGTTGAGAAACGTTATTCTTGAATTGTTGCACTATTTGATTGTGCAGTCTTTTACAGAGTGGTGTACTCTTCATCTTTACTTCTGAAAGACTCAGCCTCTCTGGCAGGATCTTCTATACCCAATCATGTAACTGATTTGTTGGCAATAATTTTTGCCACTTTTTTTAGCATTACACAACTTTACCAGCCTTTTGTTGCCCCCGTTCCAATTTGTTGTTGGCACCAAATTCAAAATGGCCATATGTTTTTCAAAAAACAATATAATTCCTCAGTTTCAACATTTGATATGTTTTCTTTGTACCATTTTCAGTTAAATGTAGGGTTTAAAATGATTTGCACATCATTGCATTTTGGTTTTATTTACATTTTTCACAGCATCCCAACTTTTTTGGAAATGGGGTTGTACTTCAGAAAAATCTTTGAATTTTTCATCATACTTTGAGGTGTTTCTCATTCACTTTCAAGCTTAAACATGTGACATTACAGTGAAATTTAGTGTATGTTTATACTCACAACCTTGTTACTCCAAAAAGTTTGAGTTATTTTATTACGTCCTTTATCAGCTTATTTACTTGAAACTGTCAGTCACTTCAGTGTAATTTAGTTAAACTGTCTTGGTACTTATCATAATTTTACCCACCGTAATTACACAGCAGTTTGGAGATTATACCCCACTCAGTTATAACACAATATTCTGTGTAATGTGCCAATGAAAGTCAGACGCTCACGGTTCGACAACACGACAGAGCTTTTACTAACACAATCAAAGTCCAGAATCGCAGTCAAATAACAGGCGTGGTTCAGATCCAAAAAGCACAGTAGAATGATAACAGTAAGCATAACACGAGGCTAACAAACACAAAGGGACAGGCAAAAGACATAGTCAGGAAAACAAGCAAAAAGGGGTCAAAAACACGAACCAGAAAAGTCCAGGCAAGCAATCCAAAGGGCAGAGCAAAAGGCAAAGTCGAAATAACAAAAGCAATGGTCAAAAAACAGGATACAAACAATAGAATAAACACTCAGTAGTTCACAATGGAAACAATACCTCGCAACTAGCTCTATCTAAAGCCCGGGCTTATAAACTAAACTATGAAGGTCATTTGACTAACACACAGGTGATGCACATCAATACTCTGATGATCTAGAGCGCTGATAGGAGCACAAGAGAAGGTTGGGAGTCACATGATTTCCCAGAGAACTCAATGGCAATGGAGTCCAAGAGAGACTCCGGGTATGAGGGATGCTCAGCAGTCATGTGATCTCCAAGAGGATTCTGGGAGATGGAGTCCATGTTCCTCTGAGAGCTCGCTAGATGCGTGACACTCTAGTTAAGACCTAGAATGTAGGGGAATGTAGTAGAAACCACAACCTTCTTGTATTAATATTTTGGAAAAATCTTGTGATGTTGTGATATAACCATTGCTACCAAGTGCAATAATTCGGCTAAACATCTAAAATGTCCTTTTAAACAGTGAAGAGACGCTTACAGCAGTGCTGGGTGCTCATGATCTGTCAAACAAGCAAGAAAAAGGTTCTGTCCACATGGAAGTGGAGTCTTACTACCACCATCCCAACTACAATGCAGACACTGTGGACAACGATATCCTGCTTTTAAAGGTAAATAAATATTTACACTAATCTACAAAATAGAATGTCATAAATAACCATGAATAACCTCAAATCATGTTTGGAAGATCATTCTGAAGTTAGCAGACTGTGGCCAAAACAGCTGCCACTCGTTATAGAGTTCAGTTATGTTTAATGTTGAGTCATTTACGCAATAGATAAAGACAGAGTCACTAATAATAATGTATAATAATAATAATTTCTTTTACATACACTTGAATGTCAATTGTTACTAACTCACTTACAATTACATGCTTATGTGTGTAGATTCTGAGAGGGTTTCCAAACCTACCAAAGGTGTTTAATACTGATAGAACACCAGGGTTGTGATGAAAGAGAGGGGCTTAACATCTATTACACTTATTATCTTTGTTAATAATTTACCTAATAATGATCTTGCCACAGTTGCGTGGAAGAGTCAAAATGGGCCCAACTATCAGCCGCATCTCCATCCCTCAAAGAGACGTGGACGTTCCAGCCAACACGGTCTGCATTGCAGCTGGATGGGGACAGACAGGAACCATTAAACCCGGGAGTAATTGTCTTATGGAGACAAAGCTCAGAATCGTAGGCTACGAACAATGTAAGGCGCTCTGGAAGCAGCATCTAAGCCCAGTGAAGATGTGTGCAGTTCATCCAGGAGGAGTTTGCATGGTATGTAAAAATGTAGGCTTATAAATATAATAATTCTGCCATCTGGTTTTGACCCAATCCAACATATAAAGTAATACAATATGTAAATTCTGAGTACTGGTTAGACAGTAACGCTTTAATCTGTGTGTTGTTAACAGGGAGACTCTGGGGGTCCTTTGGTGTGTGGGAATACTGCAGTGGGTATCGCTTCCTTCGTTCAGAAATGGATGTGTGATAAACCCACATTGCCAAATGTTTTTGCCAAAATATCTGCATTTCTGCCCTGGATCAAGTCTGTTATTGGAAATGTGTAATCTGCATTCAACAAATAAACAAACCCGAGCATCTGCCTAATTTCATCTCAATAAAAGCATTTCTCAAGCATATTTCTCAAGTATGTAGTTTCACTTTCCTCCTAGGCAAGAAATGGTACAGAAAAAGAGACAAATGATGTTTAAAACATGTAAATAAAAAAAAAATTTCACACACCCCTGTTCCTCATATAATAAAGTTGCAAACGTAATTGTAGTTTCACCCTGAATATAAGAAAATCTGTACACATATGTTTTACTAATCAACAAAAGCTGGGTTTAGCTTTTTTTTTTTAACATTTTTTAAATGGACAGAAAATGTTGATGTGTTCAAATAATTTTGTATTGTTCTATATATTACTCTTAAGTTCAAGAAACATTAAAAAAACGATGTCACATATTAAAACATAACACGTTATGACTTAATATCTTTAGAAATGAAACAACTCACTGACTGATGCAAAATTAATGTGATGTTTTTCTCATTTACTGCATCGTTGGTCAACTGTCAAGCCACATGGGTCACCGTATAAACAATCCATTAAAATTTTGAGAGGAAATCACAATATTACCACTTTTGTCATCACTTTTGAGATATAATATGTTGACCTTTTACAATCTAAATAAAAAATTCAGAAGTCTGTTTGGTGTTTAAGATAATCCATAATGCTGCTCCACCATTCTTGAAAAGGTTTGCTCAGCTACACCCCGAGAATATAGGTAGGGTTACGCAATCAGCCTTGAGGGATGAGTGTAATATTCCTATTATAGGCATATTCCTATTCCTATTGTCATATTAAATGACACGTTCACTGCCCAATTTATTAATTTCTTACTTTTTTTATTTAACTGTTGTATAAAAGCAATAGAACACTCCCTCTTGTGTTCTACTACTGAATCAAAAAATGCTAAAAAAAAACAATCTTACTCAAAAAGGCTGAGTTACTATCTCAACAAATCATTTTTAAATTAATTAGAATTTTTTAGATTAAGTTACTCCAACTTTGTGGAGCATTTAAGTTGCGATAACTTTTCATTAACATGTGCAGTTAGGTTTTACAGTGCAAAACACAACAGCCACAAGACAACATGCATCTGGTTCTTATCAAACAAGCTGAACAAACCCTCAGTTTACTGATACCGAGACCACAGAAGGGACCACAAATACTGTAAAGATACTTGAATTTTTTTAACCCCTTAAAATCCCAGGCTTATTACATACTAAGGCTTATTATTCAGTAACTACAGAGACTCCAATGCAAACTGGTTGAACTATTCTTAGGTCATAGAAGTGTGTAATAAAACTTTTAAGGAGTTAAACTATTTCATTAAAAATCTTTAACCAAAATATTTAAAACAGTAGTAATGGGATCAAAGCATATGCTTGCACTTCTGTCAAAGTACCCTCTTCACATAGGCCTAAACATGTTCATCACAAATACATCACATCAGCTGTTAAAAGCTTCATTGTTGCAAACAGAAGAACTTTTGTTACTTATAACTGATAAAACATAAAAGATTTTTTTTAATGGAGCTAGTTACTTAAAAATGAACTAAGTTGGTTGTTTGACATACAACCTGAAAGCATATTGAGATTAAATAAATGAACTGTGAAGATATTAAGTAACTGGTTTATGTGAAATGGACAAAAAAATAATGAAAGTACATTATAATGTGATGCAAAAAGGCAAACATATCTTTGGGGTAAAAATATCACATTATCACGTTAAAAGAAAAAACTAAAAGAAAAAAATAAAAGCAAAAACTAACAAAACTGCAAGGAAGCTCCACCTCAGTTACCAAAATATTTAGAAACAGGCTCAAGACAAAAAGAAACGCTGACTTTACCAGTTTGCTCTGCAAACACAGCAAATTCCTGTAAAATACATCATTTTAACTTCTTTGGCAAGAAGCTCGACCTGTTTCTCCCAGAATTTATACAGAAATCTTCTGTATCTAATGGTTGCAGTAGATCACTGTATTTCCACTTCAGTTTACAGCACTTCTTTACAGTGTGAGCATTAGCGGGCTATGAAAAGCCTCACACTAGCATCGCCAGGACAGTTCAAACCACGTAACTGCAAAATAAATGGTAGACTGTGAAGGATAGGTTGCTGGTTGTTTACTGCAGCATTGCAGTAAAAGCAAAAAGAAACAGACCAAATTCAATATATTTGGGACATAATAGATTTGGAAAGATAGGATTTTTCAGGAGCGCTGAGATGAAAAGGCTCTAGAACTGATATATTCTGTAAAACTTACTGACTGTTTTTGTAAATGTTGTATTGAATGTTTGTTGCTGCACCAACATTTTACCGCAGTGGTTAATGGCGTGTTACCTTAAATTCATATGAAGTACACTCAGCACTTTGTTTTCGAGGCAAGACTCTTAACCACAAAACCATGAGCCAGTTTTCTGACACCACAAAGTTCAGTAAGACCTTCCTCAAAGACCACAAGAAACTGTTAGAAAGAACGTTTGTGGTGAACTGACTCTTCCCACCTTTCTATTTAAACTCTTCTTCTCCTCCAAGGAGATCAAACTCTCTCCAAAGAGCATCATGGCTCTCATCTCTCTGCTTCTGCTGGCTGCTCTGCTGCCGTATCTGAGCCACTCTGGTAAACGTCATTCAAAAATACCTACTTTCTCTGAATTGTTCTTACATTTAAAGCTTAATTAAAGTTAGAGTTGTTATTCGGCTTTCAGAATTCTCACATGTAATATTCAGATGCATAATAAATCAGTCTGTTTTAGGTAATTTACACTGAGTATGATTATAACCCCTCCACCATCTTTCTCTCTCAGCCAGTGTTAATGTTGGTATAATAAATGGCACAGAGGCTAAACCTCACTCCAGACCCTACATGGTGTCTATTCAGGAATATGGATCACACGTCTGTGGCGGCTTCCTTGTGTCTGAAGAATTCGTCATGACGGCTGCGCACTGCCGAGAGAAGTAAGCTTTTATTTGTAGTGTTTTCTTGATGTAGGTCTTAGGATGAAAATGACTACTTAAGTTAAAATGTACTCATTTCAACACTGTTAACTTTTTTCATGTCATTCATGTAGACGCTTCCAAAGCTGGTTGTCTGGACAAATATCAACTACTTCACAAACGCAAAGTCATTTTTGAGGGGAAATCTGAGTGAAATATTTGAAAAGACATTTTTTTCTTTTTCAATGGCTTAAGTTCTAGGTATTAACCAAATTAGTGTGTTAAGTATCAACTAAATTACACTGAAATGCCCCACAGGTTCTGTGTAATAACTGGGTAAGTGTGAGGTACAAACTTTTAAGTGCTGTGTAATTATTTTGGGTAAAGCGTGCCGGGTAAATTAGACTGAATCTTGGTTGTGAAAGAATGCAGTGGTTCTTTCTCATCCTTATGGTTTAACTGGGTTCTTACATTTACTTCAGAAAACTATCTCTGAATTTTGCATCATACTTTGAGGTGTTTCTGATTTACTTTCCAGCTTATACATGTGACATTTGTAACGGGTTTTGCAATTTTTAATGTTATTATTGCTAGAACCTTATGTGAGGGTGTGGGGGTAACCCGGATTTATTTGAAGTCTACAGACCAGGGCAAGAGAGAGAAACGCTCGCACCAAGGATGCTTCAGAAAAGGGAATTTATTGGCTAAATATCAAACTACTTTTGGACTACATTCAATATTAAACAATAGAAAATGAAACCAGAAAACAAAACAAAGTGATAGTAATGAAAGTCAAAAAGACAAAATAGCTCGAGTAAGTTAGAGTGATTCACGGCTAAACGGTGTGAGGCAGTGTGGTTTGGGAAGTCACTTGGGAGAGCCTCTAGAGAATTAAACTAAGTGTGGACGGGAATAACTATATGGCTGGATGTACCTATTAAAAGTTCTCTTATTAAATAAATTGGCATCAGGGCCCTGACTGCAAATTGATGGAACCAGCTTACGTTGGAGTCGGGGGCTGACTTCAGGAGGGGTCGTCTCAGGACAGACTTGATCGAAGGCTGGAGCTCACGCAGTGGTTATTCTCCTTGCTGGCCGTGGATACTGGCACGCGCCTTTCCGTCAGTGATTGGGTGGAGACGTCTCGTGGCCGTCTGACGGTGGAGCTTGGGCAGCCTTTCGATATATTCTCCCTGGCCAGACAAGAAATATCCACTTTCCTTCTCTGAGGGTGGTTCAAACTTAAGGTGTGTAGACAAACAGGCAAGTTACAAAACAAACAAAGGTTTCAGATTTGAAAATTTAGCGTTCTAATACTTCTGACCTGTCTTTCTGACCAAGGCCGGCACAAACTTAGAAATTTAGCTATCCTCTTGTTGAGAATGCAGGACTCTGAACTGAACTATCAAAATTTGCCGTGCACTCTGGTTTTGCTCTGCTACCCTTTGGAGGTGGAGCCAGAGTGCTGATAGGTTCTCCTCACCTAAGGTTAACTAGCTACTCATTGTTTCCAACTTTGATTGGTTGTGCATAATTTTAGGAATGCCTTCCCCAGAATCACTGCCTCCTTTGTTTCAGCTAGTTTGAACAAAGAAAAAGAAACATTCCTATATCATCAAATTGGTTTAACTTTCAAAATCAAGGAATGAACAACTAGGATATTCAGGCATGTTTCTAAGAGAGAGTTTAACCCTTGTTACCTGATACACAACACATGTCAAAGAACACAGGTAATATTTGCCTATCATATCTGAATATGACCCAATGCATAAAAAAAATAAAATCGGCAATAAAAGAAAAGGAACAAAGGAAGAAAAGAAAACCACATTCAGGATACATATTGGTCAATGGTCTAAACTCATATCAATTAAATGGTAGGGTCTGTTTGTTATCAAAGTTATACTCTATGTATTTCTAGCACTTAATCGTAGAAAAAGATACAAGTAATATTTAGGTACTACACAACAACAAGATTAATACAACAAGTAGTATTGTTTACAGATTATATAAATGTTGATAATCAAGCAGACAAAGCCACATGTCCTTACGGTGGTGATGTGGTAATTCTCGTTTTCACCCCTTGGGGGTGCTGTGGGTCCATGCTTGAGTTCCCTAGGGAATTTAGAAAGT